AAAATTAAGATATAATTTAGGCCAATTATTGCAGTTCATTTAATGCTGGTCATCTGATAACCATCTGAGGTGCGTCAGCTGCAATCTTATTCAACTGTTAATCTGAGGCACAATGTATATAAATGATAGTTCCCCGATGTTAAAATAAGAAGAATATGTTAGTTGATGCCCTTTGAACCTTCAAGAATTCTCATAATTCGTCCCGAATTCATGAACTGCCCTTCTAAATGCCTGTTTGTCATAAACGTCTAATTCTTGCCTGAATCTTGAGTTTCATCCAGATTCCAAATGTTTTCCATAAAAGTGTGACCATAACCGAACACATCCCAGTTTACTATTGGAGTCTACACATGATGCTCTCCCAAAACCAATGGTAACACTGGATATTTATTCAATTTTTCGATCGATATCCGGATATACCCGGAACGCATTACGAAATACATAGGCTATGGTTTCAGGCAAGTTAAAATTGTAACTCTTTAGCGTCTTATGAGTATATAGTATACCAGTATAGTATAACTCATCAGACAAGTATAGTACAGTGTGGTATACATTATGTATAGTTGGTATACAAAATGTATAGTTCTTCAAGTTTAAACTATACAATACGTAGTATTTTTTATAGGATTTATTTACATAATGTATAATTTCAATATATAGTTTTATACATAACGTATAATTAAATTACTATTTTTATACTATAAAGTAAGGAAATGAAATATCGGGTTATTGAAGTAAAAGATAATAACAAAAATCGAATAGATATTTAATATGATCAAATTCAGATTGGATGAATCGATATGGCGTGATCAGTAGAACAAAATGATAAATCAAGTGATAAATTAATAATAAGGAAATTATAAGGATGTTTATGTGATAGAAATATAACGTAAATCATGTAATGTAAGAATAATATAAAAGTCAAAAAATCGAAGTTAGTTTTTTACTTTGGTCAAAGTATACAAGAAAAGGCGAAGTCTACTATATACCTATTTATCTATATTATAGTAAGGTTTAATGAATTGTTGCTGTCGCAATATAAAGTGCAGTAGATAGGTTTTTGAGTTCTGTATATGGTTTACCAAGTCCTGTTTAATTTATAATATAAGTTATTTTATAATAAATATAATGTAATTATAATGATAATGATAGAGATAATAAATAAAAATTAAAAGATAATAAAGAATCGGAATTTAAACTGTCTAATAATAAATATTAACAGTCATATAAAAAAATCATTTTTTAATCATTATACTTCGATTTCTATTCAAATCTTTAATTGTTAAATGTGTCCTTGCTTTTTGATACAGAAAGTGATAATTCAGTTGAAATAATAGATATAATATCTAATAATAATAATGAACAGGAGGTTAATAAATTTAAAGTTTTTTTTAAAAAATTTATTAATGATAATAATGATAATAAATTATATTTTTATTTAATAGAGCACAAATAGTAATGATTTTATAGAAAAATTGTGTATTTTACAAAAAGTTTAACAGCCAAGCATGTTCAATTTTCAGCTGTTTTAGTAGAATATCCACCTACTGATCCAGAAAGCTATGCAATTGTTTATAATTTTATTGAAAGTAATAATTATTCATTGGCAAATGATGATCAAACTCAAAAAGCAATGAAAGATAAAGCCCGAACTGTTTTCTGTGATATAAGATATTAAGTTTAATTATATTGAGTAATTTAAATAAATTTAAATATTAAAAGTTAAATTTATTTAAACTAATTATATTTTTTAGATTCAATATTCACAAGAAGGAAATGGTCATCTGACGTGTGTAAGTTGTAATCTGATACAGATCATCAAAATTTAAAAAAAAAAGTTTCTTTCAACGAAAATGTAATAACGTAATTATATAATAATGTCATTATATAATAACATAATTATAAACAAGGGTATAAAAAAAGCTCTTTGCTACTTCTCTCTTCTTCTTGGAGCTTGGTTGAAATATTTCTTTACAAATGTTGGCTTTACATCTTTCGTTAGCTTTTGCATTTAACGTGGCTTTTGCATTCAACGTTGGCTTTCATATTCAACATTGGCTTTGTATTCGATATTGGTGGTGCCCATAATTTTTCTACATTTAGTGACATAATTTTTTTTCTTAAAATAACTCTGACCTTGGTGCTGCTTTATAATTGGTTTTGTCCTTGCCTCTTAAGCATTTGCTTTTTTCTTTGATACGTCTAATTAACTTTGATCTTGTTCTTACTTCCCTTAGTATTGGCTTATTCTTTGGCACTGTTTTATAATTTGGTTTTGTCTTGCTCTTAAGCATTTGTATTTTTCTTTGGCGTGTCTTATTAACTTTGATCTTGTTCTTACTTCTCTTGACATTGCTTATTCTTTGGTGCTGTTTTATAATTTGATTTTGTCTTGTCTCTTAAGCATTTACTTTTTCTTTCTTACGCCTTATTAACTTTGATCTTGTTCTTATTTTTCTTATTTTTTGGTACTGTTTTAAAACTTGGTTTGGTCTTGCCACTTAAGCATTTGATTTTTTCTTTGGTATGCATTATTAACTTTGATCTTGTTCTTATTTCCCTTATTTTTTTGGTGCTGTTTTAAAATTTGGTTTTGTCTTGTCTTTTAAGCGGTTGCTTTTTTCTTTGGCACGTCTAATTAACTTTGATCTTTTCTTACCTCTATTAAGTATTGGCTTATTCTTTGGTGCTGTTTTATAATTTGGTTTTGTCTTGCCTCTTAAGCATTTGCTTTTTTCTTTGGTGCACCTTATTAACTTTGATCTTGTTCTTACTTCTCTTGGCATTGGCTTATTCTTTGGTGCTGTT